AGGCATATGGGTGCCGCCAACTGGCTTGAGTGGCACACAGTGAGGATCAGCACCATGATCTCTATCAAGTGAGCGGGTTCGTGGCCCGTTGGAAGGTGAATGCAGTGCGCCTGGGGGTTCTGCGGGCCCAAACTCGGGAACTGCTTGCGTCCACTGAAACGCCACTGTATGAGACCCCGGCCTGCATACGCGCGAGTATGATAGAAGCCACTTTGGTGGAAACAGCCTCCCAGCGCGCTGTTCGCACGTCCTAGCTCAATCATGGTTTTGAGAAGAGCCCCTAGCGAGGTTCGTGGCGTATTCTCGTAAATGATCAGAGCCCAGGACGCTCCTTTGCTCCGCCTCGATCTGAGCATTTATTTTTCGTCTACAATGAATAAGAGATAGGCTCTAAGTCTCAAGAGAATGAATACCTCTCGCGATTAAAAAATGAAATTGCCTTCGTTGCATCCTGCCGCTGTCTTGCATATTCATCCATCGCATTACGCCGGAGTACTCCCGAGTTAGAAAGTAGGTATTCCACGGGCATTGGCTTCGGCGCAGCTCGAATTGCTCGCTTTATCTTCCGATCCACGACAGAGCGCCTACTAGACACGAATAGCTATTCAAGCGAATGGAATTGATGGAATAACGGTGTATCGACTCATTCTCCGCGGTGTGATGTTTGAGGAATTGGTAGACGCGAGCGGTTTCCATGGTCAGACCGAGACGGAAGCGGAGAGAACGAGAGACCTCAGTTGCTGCATTCTCTTTTAGAAATTGGCTAAAGAACGGACTATGCAACAGAGAATAGGATGCACGCACGCGAGGCTCGGATCTGTGAGTGCGTGCAAGCTCACCCTGAACGTCATAGTACTATGCGTAGCTCGAAGTAATATCATGCACGCCGGAAGGGACAGAAGAAGACACAGATGCCGCAGTGACACTAGCTTCATTTTCGTTCACGAGTGCTGCCCTGGAGGGCCAGAATAATCTTTGAGTAATACAATTTGAGACTCTGGCATTGTGCTTTGGCACTGTCTTTGCCTTCGGCAATACACCATGTTTGCGATCTCCGTTAGATTCACCCTTCACAATCCAGTGACTCTCGTTCAGGTCCCGGGGCTGAATCCCAATTGTCCACTCAGCGCATGTTTTGATGATGTGCAGCTTTAGCGGTTGATCCTCGAGGAAATGGTCGCGCCTTCGAGGGTAAGCAGCCGCAAGGATGAGAAGCACTGAGTACGCCATTGCCTCGTAAAATCTACCTAAAACGAAATCCTTGTGCTGCCGCTGAACTCTCCTAAATATCTTGACCTGAGAAACGCGAAATTATGCACAAAGGTTTGCGGCTTTGGATATTTGACGCTTAGTGCACATAGGAGTTGGCCATATGTTTGAAGAGTGCATCGCTTTGAGAGAGCGAATCAATTTCAGACAACTGATTCGGATCAATGCTTTTATTTAATTCATTTAAGTCTACACCTCTGTCTCGGGGCTCAATGACACATATTTGGAACCACCAGAAACTATCTGCCAACCTGCATGCACGACAGTTATGATCTAAAGTTTGCACCACACTGTGTAGACAAATTTTGGAATGCTGCAGAATGTAAGATTGTGCGCCATACATTCTGTGCTTTCCCCATTATGAAAGGAGCGTCACGTAATACCGCCTCCAATATGAATGGCATGTGTACACTGCGGGGCAGTGGTCTGCCCGAAGCGCCACATGGACTCCACGCATTCGTGGCGTGAGTTTCTGTGGACGGACTATTTACAGATCGTTGTTTTCTATCCTGCCGATCGCCAAGCTCAGTGATTAGCACAGGCATCGGCTCTTGGGTATGTCGCTATACAGTCGATCGTTAATATTAAGGAATAATACAAGATATAGAATGATATTGATCTCGATCTACCTCAAGATACCCTCAACTTACCTCAGGATACTACGACCAGCCTAGTGCGCTACTCTCCCTATATATCCCGCATTGAGGCGAATGCTCACTGTGAGGTATCCTGGGAGCCTATCTTTGCAGGTTATCGGGCGGGAACTAGAGAGTTTTCTCTTACAGTACTAGCATGATAGTAGTAGGGTAGTGCTAGAGTAGCGTACTGTACTACAGTATAGTCATGGAGATAGAGAGAGAGGGAGAGAGAGAGAGCAAGGTCAGTCTATATTCTTTGCAATTAGCCCGCGCTCATCGTTATCTTCAAAAAATCCTAGAAAATAGAGACTTGGTCAGGAGCCCGGGGTTTGGTAAATATTTGATTCGCAAATGGGGCGCCGCCCCATCAAAGAAGCCTTTACTTTACCGCGAAACGGTCTCGATGGGGCCGAGCTAGCCTCTAGTCAAGCCCACCGAGCGACATGAGGGACCGGAGCGACATCCAGCGTACTTGTCGCGCATCGCCACTTACACACGGTGCTGGCAATCACATCTCGCTTTTTTGCACCACAGCCGCCGTCTTTGAGCGCTGCGCCGACGCGCATGCTGGCCGCCAAAACCCAGGGAGTTGCTTCGCAAAGTGACATGTGGTACTGTACGCCGCGTCCAGCCAAAAAACTCCGCGCGCGACGGCGCTCGGGGCGCGCAAACCGTCGACTTCGCCGCGCCCCCCGAGTTTCGACGGCTGCGCGAGCGCGTAGCGCCGGCGGGCCGCATCCGAATAGAACGGAACCTGCGGTTCGAAGTCGTCCGATATGTCCTTGGCGCCGTGGTCAACCCTTCGGCGGCGCGCGAAACCCTTAGATCGCGCGCGCGCGCTTCTCGGGTGCTCGGCGCGACGGATTTCCGAGAACGGGAGCCGCGGTGTGGTTCTGGATGTACTCGACGACGTTGGGCACGTAGGGCGTGCCCTCGAAGGCTTCGAAGTGGTCATGTGCTGCGATATCGGCGCACCAGAGCTGGTTTTCGACCAGCTGCTCCCAAACGATTTGTTACGGTGCTGTTCGCAGCGTTTCGCGCGGACCGATCACCGTCGCTGTGTTCCGCCGGGCGGTCGACATCATAGAGCTCCTGCGCGAAGCTCTACGCGGCCGTCGGCGACCGCAAGGCGTCCCGAC